AAAGGATGAAGAGAACACAAATGCATCTTTTGATTCTCATCAATGAAGCTCCCTCATCCAAGAGAGGGCCAGGAACACAAAAGGTCAGAAATGGTCAAAATGTAGAGAATAAGAGTCTACACAGTGTGGGTTCTTGGACAGGGCTCCTATATTAAAATCCACACACACAGGACTCAGGGACCATTGCAGAAGAAGGGTTAGAAAGATTGTAAGAGCCAGAGAGGAGGTAGGTGCCTTACCATATGTAAATAGAGTCCTACAGGCTCCTGGGACCCTTCTCATATGGACCTATACCAATGGTGTCAGCATGCACAAGAACCATGCAAACCCAAGCAGACAAAAACCTAGCACAGAACTTTGGAACTGAAGAGGAGGCCCCAATCTTAGTCAAAGAATTATTGGCAACTGATTACTGCTGGGTGAGGAAGAGCAGATCTTAATGGGAGAGACTCTAAATAGGCTGACTAGACCTCAGTGAATTAATTTGCACTGAGGGACATCTGGGGACACTAACTTGGCATGATAGACCTTAGCACAAGTGACAGAATATATAAATTCCATTGGAGGGGGCTATGGGAGGGAGCCAATAGGGAAAGGGGTATAAAGATGACCAAGATGTTCTGTATGAAATACACAAAAATTCAATAAAAATATTTTTTAGAAAGAAAATGGGAAAAATCCATCTACTGACAATAACAAAAAACACAACACAAAGAAGACTTAAAGAATGAAAAAGCATAATTAAAATTTGGATTTTCTTGCTAGGCCACAGACTCCTAGTGATTCACATGTGACCATTCCCCAACCATGAAGACCCTTGTGTATACCCAAAATGTATTACATCTAGAGACAGCAGTCAATGGACCTACACGAAGTTTGCTTCACACATGAACAGGTTGGTGTGTCCTTTTAAAGTTACCCTTCCTTGTTCTCCTTTATAAATATTATAATAAACACAGACATGATTTCATTTACATATGTACATATATACATTATATACTAGGATCCTTATATGAAAGAGAACATGTGTTTTTTTTTTCCTTTCTAGGATAGGGTGACCTTGCTTAATATACAGTCTAGGTCCATTATTTACTTGGGACTATTGTGATTTCATTTTCCTCTGGAGCTGAATAACATTCCACTTTACATATGTACCAACTTTTCATTACCCATTCGTCAGTTGATGGACAACTAGGCTGGCTCCATTTCCATGCTATAATGTGTTAAAAAACTTTGCAAAACATGAGTCTTTGTGATTGGTGTTTTCATTTCCTTGAACCAAAGCCCTGAGAGCAGCATTGTTGAGTCACATGACATGTGTATTTAGCTTTTAAAGAAAATGCTGAACTGTCCTCGAGAATGACTGTATCATTTTGCATCACCTCCAGCCATGTAGTAGGACACCAGGGGCTCCCTGTCTTTACTAACCCTTGACTTCTGGGTCTTAAATATGATTACATTGAATGGATCTGTAATGATATTATTGCAGTTGTTGCCATGAACTTTGAGCCTATGCTTTCTTTAATTTAAGATCTATTTTATTGTTTGTAATTGTATGTATGTGTTTGGGTCTCTGTGGTTATGTGCACATGAATGAGTGCCTTTGGAAGAGAGAAGTGACAGATGCACCTAGATCAGGAGTCAGAAGTGGTTGGGAGCTGTCCTACATGGGTGCTGGGAATCGAACAAAACTCCTCTGCAAGAGCATAATGCACTCTTAACTGTGGAGCCATTTCTCCAGGCTTGAGCCTCTGCTTTCATATATATATGAAAGCCACTAGAGTAGCCACATTTGGGGATGGAGTGAACAAGGGATGAGTATTTAAGACATGCCAGAACACTAGTGTATTTCAATGGAGCAGTCATGACTTAATATATTATATGAGACTCTCTCTTGTCCTCCCCAACTTACTACCTGTTTCCCTCCACAGAAACATACCTGAGAATCTTCTTTGTTCCACATTTTTACTATGACTTTGGCCACTATTGACACAGGGCCTCTGAATGGTAATGCAGTAAGTCGCAGAGCACATGGGGACTTTCTCCAGCTGAGCTATGAAAAAGTCTGGGGATTAAGATGAAACACTGGGATGTCCAGGGAACCTGAAGAAGCTTGTTCCTTGACCCAAGATTGAAGGAGCTGTGGACTTTTCATCCCCCACAGCCCAGCATTTCCTTTGGTCAGGAAATTGAGAGGAGAGGGACGATCTTCCAGGAAGGGTTGGGACCACACACTGGACAAGGGTACATTGCAAGAAAGACACAGAATGAAAAAGAGTCCTGTTAGCTGGAGGGGCAGGGGAAGTCACGGCTGTAAACAGAGAATCACCCAAGAGGAAGCTCTATAGTGCCAGGATTAGGGTGCTCCAAACTACTGGGGACAGGAAAGATAGAGCCCAGACCAATTCCCAAACTGCACTAAAGGTGGTCTGACTTGTTCCCAGGACTAATTCCTATAGGAAGTGATTCAGGGCTAGATCCTGTACTCTTGGTTACCTTACATTGTGATTCTTTATCATAATGAAAATCCTATTCATAGACCCGTATCTCCAGTTTTATCATAGACTCTGAGAGCCCAGATAGTTCCCAGTGTTCATGCCAACAGGGTTTTTCATGTGGGTGCCAATGAGATAGTTCAGCAGACTTTGCTTTCAAGCTTGCTGGCCTGAGTTCCACCCTGAGACCCACATGATGGAAGGAGAAAACTACCTTACACCGGCTGTCTTCTGCATTCCAAAAGTGTGCCCTGGTGTGTGAGAGTGCCCACACATACATACAGTGAATAATAAAATAAATAAATGAATAACAAAATGAATGAATGAATGAATAAATAAATAAATAAATAAATAAATAAATAAATAAATAATGTCGCAGGGCATGGTGGCACATGCCTAAGCCAGCCTAGTCTACAGACTGAGTTCCAGGACAGCTGGGGTTACAGGGAGACCCTGTCTCAAAAAGACTCTCCCCAAAATAATAGTAATGTCAAGCAGATAAATGCCAGTGAAGTTGATCTCGGCAGGTGTTAGCCACTAGAGTGGCCACATTTGGGGGATGGAATATATAGGAGATGCATACTTAAGACATGCCAGAACAGTATTGTATTTCAATGGAACAGTCATGACCTAATGGGAGGGGTACATGCAGATCCTAAGATCATTATAGGGTACCAGGGACTCTGAAGGTAAGTTCAATAAGCTAGGAGTCTTTTTAAAAATACTTTGTTTTTGAATTTTTGCCATTTTCATACAATGTCATTTGACTGAATTTACATCCCCTCCCCATCTGCACCTTGCCTTATTGCATCCTGCCTGATTTAATGTACTCTAATATATATTTGATAAGGCCTATAGAGTCTAATTTGGGTTTCCTGATGTCCTTCAGTGTGGGGTACATCCACTGGAGCCCGATTAACCTACCAAGAATCTCATACTTGAAAGAAACTGTCTCTGATCACACCAACAACCATCTGTTGCCCCAATCTCCTTAGGTGAGGTTGGAGTTTCTTATCCACTTTCTCATAGTATACTGGAATTTTCCTGGATTGAGTTTGTATGGGACTTGTGCATGCTGTCACCATTGCTGTGAGTTCAGATTGAGTAACTGAAGAACTGTCTGGAAAACTGCTTCCTTGTGGTCATCAGCAACCTCTGACTCTTATAACCTTTCTGCCTTCCCCGTTCTGCAGTGATCCCCGAGCCTTGATGGGCAGAAGTTTGAGATAAGTGTTCCATTGAGGGATAAGCCTCTTGTTCTGTGCTTGTTGACTAGTTGTGGGTTTCTGTGTTAACCACCACCTGTTGCATAAGGAAACTTCTCTGGAGAGAGTTGAGCAGTTCTCTCCTATGTCCTGTGGTCTGTGTAGCCTCAGGTTCCATACTAGGAAATGAACCTAACCTTAAATCCAATAAAAGAGGGGTTGGTTACTCTCATAATATTTGTGCCACTATTGTACAAATAAGCATATCTTGCCAGGCCTGTTGTTACTGTTAAACTATGAATCTTTTTTTTTCTTTTGAAATTTTAACATTTATTTTTATTTTATGTGTATGAGTGTTCTGCCTGCATTGATATAAGTGCACCCATGTTATGCAATGCTAGTGAAGTCAAAAGAGGGCATTGGATCCCCTAAGAGGGCATTGGATCCCCTCGAACTAGAATTAAGGACAGTTGCTAGCTACCATGTGGATACTGGGAACTGAAGTCCAGTCTTCTGCAAGAACAGGTAGTGTGGTTAACCACTGAGCCATCTCTCCAACCCCAGGAATGATATTTTTGATGTGGTCTTAAGTTGGTTTATAAGTATTTTATTGAGAAATTTGCATCTATGTTCATCAAGGAGATCAGTCTGTAATTTTCTTTCTTTGTGGTGTCTTATCATAGCAATACTTCATAAAAACACCTTGGAAGTCTTCTATCCTTTTCTTTCAGGCCCTCGGGTAGTTGGAGGCCAGAGGGAAGCCAGAACCCGGCAATCTCTGGTGATCTGTTGAGCTCCCAGCAGCTACCCCAATGGAGGAGGTCTGAACCCAGCCTCTCAGGCTGTCTGATAGCTAAACTGTGAATCTTAAAAGCACAGAAGAGTCTTCAAGATGAAGATCACACACAGGGCTTCCTAAGCTTAAATGCTATTACTCATGTGTGACATCTTGAGAAGACCTCCTGGTTTCTCCTGTTACAACTTTCTGCTCCCTGAATTCCAAAACACCACCCATGTTGAGCTGGTCAGTACAAAGACAGGGATCCTGGTGATGCTAAGTTTGAGGAGAGGGTTCCTTGTATCCAGAAATACTGCAGAAGCCATGCTGTGCCTTTCAAAGAAGGCAAAGGAGGAGAAACAACCCAGGTGACATTGCTCCAACTGCTGGCAGTTCCCTAATCAGGCAGTTCTTTGGGCAATAAAAAATTTGCCCCACCCAACCATGTTCCCCGCCTACATTCTTTTCACTTCAAATTCCTGTTTGAGCAAGGTCCACACACTGTGTTTGCTATCTGTGAAAGGAGATCACCCTGCAGCAGCACAGACTCAGGCCTAGGCCGATCATGCCACTGGACAGATTTCTTGGCTGGGTGAATGCTGTGGCCTGTGGGTTCCTGCTTCTCCTCCTCCATGTGCAGGGTAAGACACCTTAGGGGTGCACTGGGGAGGGAAAGTTATCAGAGCTGCAAAATTCCGCAGATTCAGAGCCTTAGATGGTGGGAGGGAAGGCACCAAGGATGGAAGACGTGGTAGAGATGGTAGATGACAGAAACGTGTGCCTAACAGTGCCCTCATCAAAGATCACAGGATGAACCCTACAGCACACAGAAGGTCATAGATATCTAAGGTCATCCCATACAGAGGCACCAGATTAGTGTGAAGAGCTCTGAGGAGAGCTGAAACTGTACATCAGGGGAAAGAAAGACCAAATGCACATTTCCCTCTCTATGTGTCTGTGACATTAGCTGCTGCTGAACTTTGGATAGGAGCAATACTACCTTCATGTTGCCACAGTGTATTTCCTCTTCGGCACCCTTCTAAAGTACCTGGGCAAGGTTCCTAGCCCTGGACAAAAACCGGCCACCTCCCAATCCCACAGCTGAACTGAGAGACCCAGGATTCCCCTTCCCACTGTATACCCTGGTGACAATAAGAAAGGCATTCGCTCATTCAGTGTGGTGCTAGCTGATCAGAATGAACGAACACTGATGGAAAATCTTCACCTACAGGCCAGGAATCAGATAGTCCCATCCGGACCACCTACACGGGGCAGGTGCGAGGCAGTTTCGTCCATGTGAAGGATCAAGTAGGAGTCTATAGCTTCCTGGGAATTCCCTTTGCCAAGCCACCTGTAGGACCACTGCGGTTTGCACCCCCTGAATCCCCTGAACCATGGAGTGGTGTGAGAGATGGGACATCACAACCAGCCATGTAAGTCCTGGGGCCCAAGAGGCTGGCGTGAACAGGTAAACTGAACTCTGGACCACACTGTAGTTCTTCCTCCATCTCAGCCCCACAGCAGTTTTCTCTGTGTCAGGGAGAGTCTCCCATGCATTTTTCTGATGCATGTGCCAAGATTTAGAGTGAAGCAACCTTGCCCGGCTCCTGAGTCAGAGTCTGGCTCCCATAAGAAGTTAGATACTACAGAGAGGAGCCAAGACAAATTGTTTCTACGTTCAGACTATGCAAGTATCTCTGCCATGATGGGAGGCGTCTCTGGGCAGGAGTCAGTGTAACCTCTTAAGCAGTAGGAACCCCTGAGTCAATAAGCAGACACTGCAGGTCCCTGGGAGGGGCAGTGGTGGGTCTTTGGCAATAACACCCTCCACAGTCAACTCTTATAACCAATAAGGCCAAGTGCCAGTGACCAAAGACCAAGTATATGTGCTTCCATATGGAGACTGTAGAGGAGTTTTCCTGAGAGCCTGAGCAGGGGATGAATGATGTTCCACTATCCTATGGGACAGTATTGCCCATTCATTCCTATAGTCCCTTTGTGGGCACAACACCCTAATAACCATGTATCTTACCTTCATTTTCTGATACTGACAAAAGCAACTGAGGGGTGAAAGGTTGTATTACAGGTAAGTGTGGACGCCTGGTCATGCTCAGCTCACCTCCTCTACTCTAATACAGTTCAGAAGCCCATTCTTAGGGAATAGAGCCACCCACAGTGGGCAGGTGTTCCCACATAATTTAAAGTAATTAAGATAATCCCCCACAAGCATGCCCACAACCAATCTGGGCTAGATAATCCCTCATTGAGATTCTCCTCCCAGAAGATTCTAAATTGTGTAAGTCAGCAATCACAACTAACCATCACCACAAGTACTAAGGAGAACAAGGAGAAGTGGTGAATGTCACCTCATGCAGCCAATCATTTTCAAAGAGACTCCCAGAAATCTCCATATCCCAGTCTCAGGAAGAGCAACATCCAGGCCCACATAGAAGTGGACCTGGATGGAAGTCTGGGCTCCATCCCACCTTCCACAGAGCCTGTGTGTCCTTTACCTTTGTGGGAATGAACTGCAGAGAAGGATCTGGTATAGCATCATGGAGAGCAGCAGCTGAAGGTGGCTGAGAGCAAACCCAGACTCAGACCTGGTTTTGGTCACCACACATCTCTTGGTAAAACTTCCTTCCACCATCACCAGGTGTCTACAAAATTCTGATATGATGAGTTCAGAGGGTCTGAAGAAGATGAATCTGATCATGCCTCCCACCCCCATGTCTGAGGACTGCCTATATCTCAACATCTACACACCAACCCATGCCCATGAAGGCTCTAACCTGCCTGTGAGTATCAGGCTGTGGTCAGTGGAAAGGGGATTTCGTCTGTTGGTTGATTAGAAGGGACAAAAGCAACCTGAGCCCCTCCGTAAGGTAGACCCTGATAAATAGCCTTATTCTGTTGGGTTCAAGAAAGATATCTTAGCCATGATGAGCAGCTGAAACCTTGGTATAGGGCACAGAGCTCTGGAGATCTGAGAGGTCAGAGACTCTAATTAAATCAGGACTCACTATCAACTTGAGCCTTGCACAGCAACTCAGGTGCTCAAGACTGAACACTTAGGGTACTTAAATTTCTAGATATGGATTATCTGTTGTAGCATGAAATATGATGATGCGAGACTGGAGAGATGGCTCACTGTTTAAGAGGACTGACTGCTCTTGAAGAGGACTTGAGTTAGAGCCCCACAACCCACATGGAGGCTGCAAACTGTCCTTAACTCCAGTTCCAGGGGAATCCGAAGCCCTCTTCTATCGGTATTGCATGACAGGGGTACACTCACATACGTGTAGGCAATATACTCATACACATAAAATTAAAATAACAGGTAAAATAAAATAAAGAAATACGATGCTTTTCACAAAAAACAGGAGAGAAACCCATGGAGACTCCTTTTTCATTCCACAGTGAGGATCCAGACAGTAATGTTGATATTACTCTCTTTCCAGAGCCATTAATCTAAGCCAAGATGCATGATATTGATGAAGGCCAGAAATATACTTATGGGGCCATTACATTTCCATGTCTGTGGCCCAGATCTTACAGTACTAAGAAGTTCTCTATATATTTATACCTGCACACTGTTAAAGAAGTTGATAATCTATTAGGCAGTTCAGCTAGAGCTTGAACTATCTAGAAGGATCCTTGCATCCATTTTGATTTCCTCAGGTGATGGTATGGATCCATGGTGGTGCACTGGTTATAGGAGCAGCTTCACAGTTGGATGGAGCCATACTGACAGCCACTGAGAACGTGGTGATGGTCTTTATTCAGTATCGTCTTGGTGTCCTGGGTTTCTTCAGGTGAGCTGGG